CGTATATTTATTTGTGTCGGACCAGACAGGATGGGAAAGATAGGCAAAATAAGATGCAACTACTCTTCGGGGTCACCATCCATCACCACCCTGGCGCAATCCCGGACCTCTGCCTAGGTGGCTCGAACGAAGGAACGGGAAAAACATTTGCCCTGCCACAGACGACCGGGTGCTCAGGAGTTGTAATCGAGACAGTGGCCCCCAAAAATAAATGCCGGCCTGTGAGAGACGGGGAAAAGCAGTTATTGAGTTGATTCAAAGTGAGAAATAAAAAGAAAAGATTTAAGTTCAGACATAACAAGTTTACGAACTCTGATGTTACGTTGACGCAATCTCGCCACGACGTCATGGTAAAATTAAATAAGTCACCTTTATGTTTGTGAAATAAAAATTATAACAAATGTTTCATGTGCTTCCTATCTCCCATGTCATGTTTGATCGTAAATTAGACGGCTATAGTATTTCCGGCACAATAGTGTAGACGCAATACTACTTGCACAAATGTGAAATTCAAAAGGAGGAGAAAAGGCAAAACATCTTGAATGATTTTAAAAGTACTGTACATGCAAAGAGACTAAATTAGAGTGTTTTAAGTTTATCTTATTTGTTTTTTATGGTTCGAATACGTCACAAGCTAATCTGTGGATAATAAATCATTACTGTTATCAATGTTAGTTATTTTGCACAAAAGATATAAATTATGATTACCAGGATAACTTGAAAAACTGTTTTGAGTATTTCAGTGGCAGATTCAAGGGGGTCCAGCGGGCCCACCCTCCCTATTTTTTTCGAAATTTATAAGTGGAGAAAAAAGATTTCAAATTTAAGTCTGAGAGTGCCATTTCCGGCCAACTAAAGGTGCCATAATCATAAATTTTCTTATCTCAGCCCCAACCATGGTGGGGCTGAGGTGGTCAACATTCCGTACGTAAAATTCCCTCCCTGTCGACATAAATATTTATTGCATTTCTTAAAATCGATTCACGACTTATAAAAGGCTATATACGCCAGAGCTTACGGGGCATCACCCCCTGGACCTCCACCGGAGGCCCTAGGCGCAGGCGTCTACCTGGCCTGGCTTTTAGGCATTCTAGGCCTAATATATTAGGTCGCATTTATTACTTAATTCACTAAAGTATCATGCATTTAGTTTATAAGATAAATACAATCTAATAATTAGGCCTACTAGGCTGTATTTATTTACAGTATAATGATACTTTAATAATAAATAAAACCCAATAAATCAGTTTGTTGTATTAAGTATTGTACATTAAATAATAATTATATATAATTAATGAAATACAGCCTCAATAACTGTTTCATACATTTACGTAAATAAATACAGGATTATTTGATTGTATTTACTTAAATACCAGATTGTTTTTGTTCGAGTAAATGTACTATGATACTTAAAAAGAAATACAACAAACAGAAATAATGAATAAATAAGTAGGCTGTATTTATTTAAGTAAATACAATCAATTATACCTAAATTTATTTACGTAAATACATTAAGTATTATAGTACATTTAATAATAATAATAATAATAATAATAATAATAAAAATAATAATAATAATAATAATAATAATAATAATAATAATAATAATAATAATAATAATAATAATAATAATAATAATAATAATAATAAGTTCACTTACTGTAGTTTATTTTATTGCATAAACTAGGCCTAATTTATTAGGTTGTATTTATTTTGGGTGTAATCCAAAACATGCCAACCCTAAAACCAAATTTTCACTTTTGAAAGTTTATTAAAGTATTTACATCACTTAAAAGAACAATTATCCGGGCATTTAAAGCTGGTATTTTTTTCGTGATAATATACCAATTTTTGTGTTGTATTTATTTAAGTAAGTAAATACAATCTAATAATCCTATATTTATTCACGTAAATGTATGATACAGTAGAAACCCTCTGGAATTTGTTAAATCGGGCTTCGTAAATGAGGGTTTCTACTGTACTTGAATAAATATAACCCAATAAATCATTTTTTTCGTTGAATTAATAGTACATTTATTTATAATAATACAACCTAATAAATCAGTTAATGAGGCTGCATTTCATTAATTATATATAATTAATAAATATTACTTAAATTAATACATCCTAATAAGAAATGTTAATTACTTAGTTTTAGTATCATTTATTTTTGTTAAATAAATACCATAAATAAGATCTGAAAATATACATAATATAGCTCATCATAGGCCCATACTTTCAAAAATACATAAACCAGCATAATATTATAGTTCTATATCAATACATAAATATCACTTTATAATAATTGGATGATGAGACATAGACAGAAAATATACTATAGTATATTGTATTTATATATTAATTATGTTGTACTTAATTAATTATAGTTACTTAATGATACTTAAATTGATATCAACCTAATCATTAACAGCTTTTTGCATTACTAATAATTAATAACAAATTGAACAATGTATTTGAAAAATGTTTACTCATGATTCCACCTCAAAAAATAAAAACATTATAAACACTACAATTGTTAATAATAATACAATCTAATAAATCAGTTGTCCAATCTTATATATAATTAACAAATAATACTTAATTAATACAATCCTAATAATAATTGTTAATTAGGTTGCTTTAGTATCATTTATTTTTGATAATGATGAATAACAATCATCATTAACATCATGTGACATGACAATTTTAGCATTTGAAGTGGAGAAAGTGGGGGTGCTTGGACTCGGGGGGACCGTCTTCTGATACCATCAATATAGCATTGGACTACCTACCTTTCCATAATCCTGTGTTGCTCTTTGTCCAAAATCTACGTGATTGGGGTTGATACCTGTATCGATTATATACACATGCGCACCCATTCCATCACCAGCTGGAAACAAAATTTTAACTTCATAAATATATACTGAAGCGCATATAAATTAAACTGTGGATTGATCACTTACTTGATTGATTGATTGATCGATTAGTTGGTTAGTTAATTGATTGATTGATTGATTGAATGCCTTGATTGGTTGATTGATTGATTGATTGATTGATTGATTGATTGGACAACTGTCCGGTTTAGACTACCTGAATCGCTTGATAGAAACTTACACAGAGACAAACAGAAATAAAATGTTCCCTGTCACTGTAGGTACAGTAACTGTTTATGAACAATTAAAGAAAGGTAATTTACTCTTGAAATCAACAAAGTCATCGAGAGGTAAATATCTCTGGTTCACACGATCGATACCCCACGAACCCACGTCTCTTATTCTTACGATGCCATCTTCCTCAATGTACTCGACAGTGGACAAATTACGAATCTATGAGAAGAAATAATGCACATTACTTAGTTATGAAACTATTTCATACATCGCGTTTTACATCATTATTCAACTGCTATATATGTTATAGATATATTATTTATAGAAAATAATATATAATTATATATTTATGTGTGTGAAGATACTAAACTTTACTACATAATAATATATATAATATAATATATATATAATATAATATATATATAATATATGTAATATATATAATATTATATATATATATATATATATATATATGCATATTACAATTACATATACGGTGTATGGGAACGATAATTGAAATGCAGCCTTGATAAATTGCTAGGACTCATGGGTTCTATTTTAGTATAGTGTACTAGGCCTATATACACTATAGTATTATAGAGATGTGTATAAGAGACAGCCTTTATGTTTGTGAAATAAAAATTATAACAAATGTTTCATGTGCTTCCTATCTCCCATGTCATGTTTGATCGTAAATTAGACGGCTATAGTATTTCCGGCACAATAGTGTAGACGGTGACAATAGCTGTCTCTTATACACATCTAGATGTGTATAAGAGACAGGCTTAAGCCCCTGCCGCCCTCCCCACCGCTGGCGCCGCCACTGACACGTAGGCCTACCCCTACCACTTTTACCACTACATTTTAAAATGTCAATGCATCAATGTTATGTATTGAAATAAGCGCTATTTACTTTCTATTCTGAAAATGTTGTGCCCTACCACCTCACCCCCACCCTCCCCCGTTTGAAAAATTCTGGATCCGCCCTTGAATAGTTGCATATGTGGTTACCCTCCTTTTCAAGGGTGCTAATTCAAAGCCATACTAAACGACTGAATCAAGTTGATTCACTAAACAAAAATTCTGCACGTATGGAAATCCGCTTGTTTAGATATGGTTAAAAACATCAATAATAAAAGTTTAAAATGTGAAACACATAGGCCTACCTGTTTTCTGGAAGAAAAAAGAAAATGGCGCAAACACACGTTTACAATGCCATGTATAATGTGTTGTGACTCGTCTGTTCTTATTTTTTTTTAATCACGTGCTGCAGATGGAAAATGAAAGTCATGCCTAATAGTGAAGTTACCAAAATTAAACGTTCAGCTAGCTCCGCCTCTTGGATACTGTTGCTAAGTTTTCACAACGACTGTCTAACCGTACTCAAACACGTGTGTTATGGGACAGGTGCGTATTACTTGTCCTGTTCTGATTGGTCAGTTAAGTTTGAATGGCACTATGGAAAGGTCTACTGGAAGGATCGCGTTCGTTGTGTTAGTAACAAAAACAAAAGCAACAATTAAACAATCTATGAAAATCTCTTATCAAATAAAATGCGCGGTTTTGGTTTTGTGTTTATTAAAGTTGCGAGTCTCTACTGCTCATCTCCATATAATTAATGGTACCGGTACATTAGTTAGGCCTACATAAACAAAATAAGTATTTATGTTTTTGTTTAACACAATTAAGACGAGAAAATTTGATTAAATAGACATGCGCTATGCCCCAACACTTTTCCAACTACAGCACTGCGTTTAGTTTGGGCTGTAGACTTGTATATTTAATCCATACCGTATCCTCTTGGCTGGCCTTCATATTAGTCGACTAATCTTATTTTTTACACTGGTGGCCGTGGTAATTGTAAATTCATTGAAACAGGAAATACTAGTTTCAAAGCTCAACTCAATACAAAAACAGTTATTTTATTGATACATCATACATCTTGATAAAACAACATTAACGAAACACAAAGTCATAGCCAATACAATAATTGAATGGCGACAATAGTGTGTAACTTGTATTCAACTTCCTTATTGGTGGTAACAATGACTTCTTCCTTCTCTCGATTGATGAACCGTAGCCTTATTGCTTTTTCATGCTCTGTCAACATGCCACATGACCTTAGTGTTATTCGAAAAAAAAAAAAACGCGTTTATTTTAGAGAAGGCTTTTTTTCGAGGAAGGCGTATATTATTTTGGTGTGAAATGCATACGTAGGCCATTTCACGTAAAGTGGAACTACAACACACAATTACCGTCAAATGTGTTATTACGTGATCATAAAAAAACGCATTGATCCCATCAGGTTAATATAATGTGTTGAGAATGATGTTGCTTCCATTACATTTGTTTTTAGGGGTCGTTTATTAGAGGAAAAATTCGGGGCGTTTATTCGATCGAGAGAGGCGATTATTCCAATTCAGGCTCTAGAGGGGTCGAGGGGGCGTTCATTTAAATAACGGTATATATTTCATCTGTATATACGAATTAAGGTTTGTATGAATTCGGCGCAGGCCATTTTCCCTCTCCTGGAGCCAAAAATCACCATGGATTTTGTTCAGCAGGGCCCACGAAAGCAAAATCCACATGACACAACATATTTTCTCAAGAGACCCCTTTTAGTTATGTTGTAAAATGGGTTTCAAATCTAGATTTATCATTCATCTCAACGGAATGATAACTCAATGAGCTGATGAAAAAATTAGAGCTATTATTAGAATTAAACCGCATAAATCAATAAAATTCCCACAAACTGCATAAGTATTTCTGCTTGTGTAAACATGAAACGTCTTTCCAAATTTATTTTGGCTACTTCCTTGTATATTATATTTTGTAACCGAAATTATACTTCATAACCATTTTTAAGTGATATTTTTAATGATTTATTTTATCTGTTTTATTGAGAAAAATCTTTTTAAGTTCAATTTGTATTTCTTGTATTATTTTGTAATTCTGATTTTCATATTGCGATAAAGGTTATTTGTATTTGTGTACTATCGTTATTATAAAATATAGGCTGAAGCCTAACTGAAAAACATCATATCCTATGTATGTTCCAATCTCAGGGTGCTGGGTTCAGATCGGTACTTTTTTTTTAATTAATTTTATTTTTTTATTTCCCACAACTAAAAACATCTCAAATCTATAATAAGACTATCAATCAGACTTAATTTATGAAGCATCATATTTTTTCATTATTTAAGAGAGCCCTTCTGGTACTGGTATAGACATTTAATGCGCCTCTTTTGAGATTATAAAGCACAGTTCTGGCCCTGGTCACATTAGCGTAACGATGAAGTCGGAGGCCCCTGTGCAGGGGCCCTTTAGGGGCCCAAGACGTTATATGACGTATTTTAATGCCTTTTTCACACATTCGAATTCTAAGTTTGTGTATCGTGATTTGACTAAAAAAAACCCCAAAAAACTTAATTATTATTTCAATAAATATCTAAACAAAACTAGCAAATTAATATCAATAAATATTTATGGACAAAAACATATGTATCATACTCATGTGCCAATGCTCTTGCTCATGGTTTAACTTCACTCGGCAGACTTTGGCTTTGAAAAAGGGCCTTGGTTATTTGTTTGTAAAAAAATATAATTTGAATTTGGTGGGGCCCTGGCTTAGCCAGTGACAGCTCATAGCCGGTACCCAATGACCAGGCAGTAGCGTACCGGCTATGAGCCAGTGACAGCTCATAGCCGGTACGCTACTGCCTGGTCAATGGGGTCTACATGTTGCTGCTGATAATCAGCGCAGGAGGAGCATGAGGCAACCCCACCAGGTACCCATTTATACTCCTGGGTGGAGCGAAGCAATTTATGCAGATAAAGTACCTTGCTCAAGGACACAAAAGAAATGCGCAGCGAGGGATAAGCTGGAAGGGTCACCATCTATTAATGAGGTAAACAGATGACAGGAGTATAGTATTTTTTGAAATATTAATAACAATAGAAATAATACACCAATCTGAGATTTTATCAAACACAAATAATATGCACAACAGTTTATCATGACATGCTGCTAATTTTATTCTCAAAGTAGGCCTATTGTTGATTACCGTATGTTATGATATTACTTCTTTCATTATGTCCAAAATAATTTTATTTTTAAATATTAATGCTATGCTATTAGACAGATTAGCAGTGTCAGTAACGTTGAGATGACTAAGTTGGGTTAACGTTTATTATTTATTTCCAAAGTAGGCCTAACTGGGTACCGTAGCTCACTTGCTAGTGCCTGTCTCCAATTTATGAAAATAAAGCGTTCTGGAATAATGATGAAAGAAACACACTTGTAGTTTTACTCTATAGATTGCCTCTGACAAACAGATAAATAATAATAATAACAGTGCTCAAATACGAATATGAGATGCTATAATCGAAGCATAGCCGCGCGACAAAAAAAAGGTCTTTTCAATTCTCTTGTAGCATGGTTAAGCTAGAATAACTTACGAAAGCATAGTAATCAATAGGCCTATTATTAGGTCTGTTACCCAGTACAGCAATCACGATTTTTTATATACAGTAGGCCTATGTGTGACCGTTTCAGTCAGTTGTATGAGGGAAAATGCCTGGGGTTCGATTTGCAAGTATACCTATGTCTCCGTGGCCTAATGGTATATGATGCTGGCTTGATAGTGAGAGGTTGCAGGTTCGAATACCTTTTTTCATATAATTGATATACAGGAAATTTTTGTTGATGGACTATGCTTCATAAGATTATTAAAACATGTTCATATTTGAGCACTATTATTATTATTTATCTCTTTGTTTACACTGTGTTTACGGAAACTTGATTTATATATATATATATATATATAAATCAAGTTTTCTACGTAATACCGTAAACACAGTGTAAAC